TGTTGCTCCCAAAAGGAACATGCTGTCAACGTCCACCCGAACTGCTGAGACCATCACAATATTCTATTCTCTTCTATTCTATTCTATTCTATTCTGCATTTCTCTTATTCTCTAGTTTGCTTCCTAATCTAGTTGTCTAATAAACTTGGCATTGCATATTATGAGCATTATTGGCTCTTTGACAAACTTGCTTTTGTTCCACGTTTGCAAGTCTCTTTGGATATTAGCATCTGCTAAATGCATAAATGTACAGTATGTAGCCATATAGTATGTATGGCTTTGCCATCGTTGCCTCTTCCAACATCACTCAACACATAACATATACAACATACAATAAAAAAAATCTATATGAAAGGATGAATGTTTGAGCGTCCAAGCATGTATTATGGTTGGGACTGAATGATGAATGAATGTAATGTCTGTGTGCTATAGAGCGGCGTGTGCATTCGTCTCTCTATAGCGAGAGGGGAGGGAATGGTGATGTGAAATACAGTATATGTGTGTGCCAGTACCATTCAACCGCCAGATCTGGGTCATGAAACAAAACCAGCTGAGAAACACTGACTCAGACCACTCACGTATGGCAGAGGCTATTTGCACTAAGTGAAAATAGCAGTATTTTACTTGCACTAAATGCAAATTGTTTTAGATGCTATTTACAGGCAGCCAGACCTACTATTTGCATCTTGGTGTATTGTCATATGTTATCAAACAGTAGGCTATGTAATAATATAAACATAAAATTCAGAGAAAACATTCAGATCAGTTACTACATGATTATATTTAACAAAGTCATAAATCCCTAACCCAGGAGAGTCCAATCCTGCTCCTGGAGGGCCACTGTCCTGCAGAGTTTAGCCTCAACCAGCTCCAACACATTTGCCTGAAAGTTTCTAGTGCGTCTGACTCTGATGACCTTGATTAGCTGGTCCAGGTATGTTTAATTAGGGTTGGAGTTAAACTTTGCAGGACAGTGGCCCTCCGGGAACAGGTTTGGACACCCCTGCCATAACCCTAACCATACTGAACCTGATAATTAGTAAAGGTGTCCTTTATGGTCCCTGAATTGAGCCACGACTTTGAGCCCGGTAACAATATGAGTTGCACAATTGATGTGCCAGCCCGCCTGACCAATGTGAGGACACAACATCAATTTTCAATTATAGGCCTATTAAATATCTGTTAAGCAATTTTTTCTACTTTTGAATATTTTCTTCATTTTGAGTTGAAATAAACATGCGAGCTGATATGCAATGGAACAAGAGAGAAAAATGGGATTGGAAACAGGTGGATTCAAACTTGTGTCAAAAGCTAATTCCATTACTCTTACTCTCCACGCCACTGTACCTGGTGCTGGATGGGTTTCTTCTGGATTTTGTATTAGCGGAGAAAGTGTAAATCACCTCTGCCAATAAGGCTGGTTAATTGCATTTAAATGGACACTTTGCTTACATATACACCATTATACCACATAAATATAAAATGTTAAAAAGTTATAGGCTAAACAAATTGAAATCTTTAATTTTTTTTTATAATATATATATTGGTATTATAGAGACTTAATGGAGTTTCTGTGAATAAGAAGATATTGAAATGAAAAGTATTATTATATACACTTATATATGAATGTCAACAATCTTATGGAAATGACATACTGTGCTCTTCAGCTTTTATTTTTTGTAAAACCATTGATACATATTCACATGTTCTAATTAACTGCTCTCTCCTCTGGAGATCTAGAATGATCTCAGCTCTCAAACACTGAGGCTATTAATTAAAGCATACAGACTCAATGTACACAGCCACTCATACTATCTGACTTATCTTCACTGAAGAAATATGACAGACCATTTGATAAATATATTATGTTCATGAAATGAAATCTCACTGTGTGCTTTTAATTAGCACACAGTCACTCTATGCATGTTCTCTGATGTATTTACTCATAACTAACGGATCCATTTTAGCAGCATTTAGCATGATTGTGAAGAGTCTTTTGTGTGCACATCTGTTTGCACTTTTGTGGACATAAACAGTTATGACAAACTCTGTTAATGTTCCCTGAATTGGCACATGAAACTCACTGTACAATAACACATATTCAAACCCTTCTCTGTCTGTCCAAAAATATTACATAATACGTTATAGACAATTTTGACTTGATTATAGAATGAATAAAGACTATAGTAGACTAAACACAAGCCAAAAGCTGAAATTGATGTTGTTAAAATAAAATTAAATATAAGGACTGCATCATGTGCATTCCTGTGTGTTAATTTGCTTTTGTACCTGCAACATGCAGACCTCTCACACTTAGAAGAGATTCACACTTGATTTGTTTCAGGGGTCTCTTCAAGGGCAGTTCACTTATATAGTGCATTACAAACGATGCCATTTTAGATTCCATCTCAGTGTTTTTTGTTTCATTCCGTTACATTTCATCTAGCTTCCTGTGTGAACAGTCATAATGCAGAACAGGGCTCAGACAGTGACATTATTACTGAGACGGACCACTTGTATTACAATGTGAGAAATTGGGGGACCCAATATGGCAACTCTAGTATGCAGTATTTTAGTGTTATTTGAGGGTAAGAAACAACATTTATGATACCTTTCGAGTCTGTTATTGCTAATTTGAAATACTGTATGCTTTTGAAATGTGAGTTTGTAAAGCAGTTTCGGTAATCCCCAGTTCAAATACATTGGAGCTGTTCTTGTATGACTGACAAGAGCTGCCCAAGTATGCAAGATGGCCACTGAGCAAACTTTGGCTCGGATGATACATGCTGATGTGTATGGTACAATCTGCTTCCAAAACATAGTTCAGTGCTCAGTGATATTAACTACATAGCCTACAACCGGAGAGTACCATCCGTTTTCTTCCACGTGCGCGAGTGTTATGAGTCAGAGCATGTTCACTCTCTAGTCTAGATTTTCCGTATTAAAAAAATCGAGTGAAACATTTTTCTACACATGAATATGAAAGCAAATAGACATATGATTATGACGATATGTTTTCTGTATGTGTTTTGTATGCAGCTCATGGTATTTTTTATAGCAATAAAGGATGTGTATGACAAATATTAGCAGTGTAGCGTTATTAAACATACAAAGTGCATGTGTCTGCTTATTAGAGAATCAAAATCAACTATAAATCACAATCGGAAGTTATCACAAGCATTCGATGATGGTTTAAAGTGGGTAAGCAAATACATTTTCAAGTGTAGCTTGATGCTAATTGTACTTCTAATTATATTTTAGGATGTAGCCTATTCTTGTAAGCATTATAGATTTATAGTTTGTGTTTCTGGTGTAGAGCCACACTTTGTTTATCTTAATTTAGATGTTAAATCCATATTCGAGATACATATCTGAGGAAAAATGCATTGTTGGTCGGCGGCACCTAGCGTGCAGGCATGAATTAGCAGATGGCGAACAATCATTTCGTGCTCAGGGTGAAAGCACCATTCGTCGGCGATTCGCCACGCTCAGTGTGGAAAGGCCTTAAGAATGTCAGGACTGCAAGATGTTTGTTAAAGATCGCTTCATCTGGAAAGCATCTGCTGTGTACAAACATCTGATAGACATCTTTCAGAGAACAGTTTTACATACATTCTAAATCATAAACATCTTTCTAAACATCTATTTGACATCTGATAGGAAACGTTCTATAGACGTATTGCAGATGAGCAAACACTCTAAAAAATACGTCTTGCAGATGTAAATGCAGACGTCAAATATATAGGCTCAGCCTCAGACGTCACGCCCACGGACCGCTGGCTGAACGTCTGATGCATATGGCACACAAAATTGGAAACACTTCAGGAGTTTCGAAGGCGTCATCTGATTGGTTGAATTGTACAGGATTTCCAGTAGACGTGTGTCACGTTTTTTAACGTTCCGCCTGGAAACAAAGATGCCTTTTCGCCAAACCCCCCACATGGAAGAAGAAAGCTGTCATGTTTACAACTGAGACAATGAGCGCTTTTCAGGATCAACTAAATGCTAGATTTTCAAAAGTATGTGAAATATTTAAAGTTTGTGGCATAGACTCTTTAAAATACGTCCAAGAGTTTTACACACCAGTCTGTTATTGTGGGGACATTTCCAAGCCCCTAAACATGACGTGGCACAAAACAATAAATGATTGGTTGCTTTACCTGTTAGTCATATGGCCTCTTGGGCAGTCCTTGGCCATTCAAAGCTGCCGAGGTTCCGAGACCTTCTGCCGTCAGTCTGAAGGTTTGGCTATGCAAGACTATCAAATAGACGATGCACGTGTGCTATCAGGGATCAGAGCCAGCGGCAAAATCCAGAAGAACTGGCCGCGGTAACTGCTCTCGGCGGGTTCATGGGTGCTGACAGCCTGGAGCTCACATCTCCGAAAACGTCGAAGCCAGAATTCAAATTTATTTATTAATAAACCGCATATTCTAAATCTACACAACTACATTCTCGCCTAAAACAATAAATAAATAAAAAACTCTTAAAACTAAATTTTGTGACGCATCAACAGTAGCACTTGTAAAATTAAAGTGGTTGGTCCTCCACCATGGTCCTCACAGTCTGCGAACATTGCAATGAGTTCTCTTTTGAGTCTTATTGCACTTGAACAGATTGCACTGTCGATCGGTGACCTATATGTTAATCCAAGAAAAAAAGAGAGAGAGAGAAAATCACTCACTGCTCTATAACTTTTGTAGCTTTAACAAGAATGAATCTATATTTAATTTATACAGTGAAGACTATGCAAAGCTATTTTACATTTGACTATTACATTTCTGTACCTTAATTACATTTTTTTTTCTATTTCTGCTATTTAAATGCACGATTTCTTGTAGGGCCCACAGGTACAACCCTGTTAACAGGTACAACGGCCCTGATAACTAAGCTAATATTTAACTCCTATAATATTGATTTCTCGCTAGATGTAACATCAAAAGTGCAAAAAGTCGGAGCATACATTTACACACAAATGCAAATTTCAGACACCATCTTTATTTTTTAGCTCAACTGTCAAGGAATGGAACGCACATGATTGTGGGATATCAAAGGCAGTGAAGGATACATCTATGCTGACCTGGCATCTCGGGAGACAGGAAGTGAAGCTGACATTTGATTTGGATGTTTTTCTACCTTGCGATGCATCCACCGAAGGCATCATTTTTCAGCTTTTAGATGCAGCCTGTGAGAAATGCTGCAAGTGGAGTGATACAAACAGTGAAACGGTTCCCGTGGCAGTACTTGTATAATACAGCACAGCTGGAAAGACCTCTCAGCCAATCAGATTCGAAGACCAGAAGTAACTGTTGTATAAATACTTACAGTATATACTCAACTATATATAAAGAGTTGTGTGATGATGTAATTAGTTACTGAAAATGTAGTAATGTGAGTACACTTTATGTATGTAAATAAAGTTGGATATATGTTAGATATCCAACTTTGTATACAGATTTGTCCAATAATTTAGATCTAAATATAAGATATATATATATAGACAACCAAGCAGTTGAGATTTGCTGTACAGTATATAATTGCTTCATCTATGTGTTATTTGAACTGCTATTAAACTGCTATTGAACTGCTTAAAATGACAGCAACTGGGTCATTTCTCATCAGAACAAAATCTTAAAACAGCACTCAATGAATCTTTGAGACACTTAAGTCCACAGATTCAATTGAATTATTATTTTCTATTGGCTGAGTTACTCTTTGAATCTGTAATGATGAGAGAGTGTATTGTAGCCAGGAATGCCATTTCTTTGGCTTTGGAAGGTTACATAACAAGCTGAACCTGGGAGCTGACAGCACTCTCATCTCTGAAGTGGATCAGGTTTAGGTGTATTATTCCCCAACACTTTAGCATACAAGATTGATATTAATGCTGCCGATGTAATGAAACCAAATTCTTATATAAGCGCTTTGTAGTGTCATTGCCACACTGAAAGCACATGGATAACATCGCTTCCATAATATGAAGTGGCACACATCTCACAAGATCCACTAGCTGAAGCACTTGTGATGTTTCAGACAAGTGGATGGAATGTGATTTTTAGTTTCACATATGGGTAGGTTTGATAGAGTCTGCTGGAATGAAAACCACAAGTCTTCCATCACTGTTGGACAAGTCTTGTTCTCTTCCACCGTTTATAATGAATCTGTTCAAAAGACCATGTATTTCACTGTTCAAAGCACCATGCATGTACTTTTGCTTTTGTAGTTGTTTTTATTATGTGCTGTTGAGCTGATTTGTTGGTAATGTTTTTGTAAAGTCTGATTAGAAATATCTCCTGACATGATTATATGCAAAACACGTTTTTTACGTTTCATTTACTTCATGAAACAATAGTGTGAGTGACTCTAAATGTACATATGGCAGAAATCAATAATTCAATACAGACACATAGAAACATATCTAGAGACCAGAATATTTTGGTTTTCCACAGAAACTCCACTCACATTTGCTTCAAAAATGGAAATTAAATCTAGTTTCAGTTGTTCTGTTAAATATGTTACTGTATAGCCCTGTCCTTATAGTGTCTCTCTGCGTTTTGTGTCTGAACACATGGCTCTCTCTTTGTTTATGTTTGCATTTTGCTTCCTTGTCCTGCCCTTCTTTCAATGATTTTCATTGATCTTTTGATAGTAAATTTCAATATGAAATTACAGTGCACATTGTGATTAAAAGTGTAGCAAAGGGCTGTATCAATTCCCATGTGAAGAGGTCATTTACTTATAGAAGTCTTAAAGGCACAGCATCAAATAACAGCTCATTTAATTAAAAGAAAACGTCTCAGATTACGTATGTAACCATGGTTCCCTGAGTAGGGAACAAGACACTGCGTCCTCTAGGGGTCGCTATGGGGAACGCCTCATCGTGATCCGTGTCTGAAGCATACATTGAAAAAACACCAACAACACGTTGGCCGGCGACAGCCATGACGTCCTGATGCTGCTGGTTCCAGGTGCTCCTCAGACATTTCCTGCTCTTCCTGGGCTGAACCCAGCAGCCCAAACAAACAACGCATAGATCGTGTGTGTCATCGAGACACGGGTCACGGCGAGGCGTTCCCCATAGCGACCCCTAGAGGACGCAGTTCGAAGGTCCCATGAAAGGGAACAAATCTCGTTAAATAATACTTGCTAAGAGCCATTCGTCAGGACACAAAAACAGCTGGGCAAAGTGCAACATGCAACAGAAAACAGAGTATCTTACAGATATAAGAAAACAGGTCCAATTCTCGCTATTTACAAACCATTAACTATGACTTTTGCCTCAATAAACTTATAATTTGCTGCTTATTAATAGTTAGTAAGGTAGTTGTTACGTTTAGGTATTGGGTAGGATTAGTGATGTAGAATATGGTCATGCAGGATATGCACTTTATAAGTACTAATAAACAGCCAATATGTTAATAATAGGCATGCTAATAACCAACTAGTTAATAGTGAGATTTGGTCCCTATACTAAATTGTTGAAAAAAAAAGAAAAAAGAAAGTATATAGCATTATACAGACTTCCAAGGATTTTGACTGCCACAAAAAGTTCATGTTTGTTTTCTCTACAAATATTGATATTTAATTAATTGACTAATGATTAATTTGATTATTTAAATAACTGAATAATTCATCATCTATTTGCAGCCCTACCATTGACAGCTCCAGTGATTCTCAGAGAGGCAAAAACAATGATTGCCTGCCTCAGTTTCCTTTTGCATGTAGAGGAAGTTGATTTGTATGTAACCTGAGTGGAATATAACCTCATAACCCAAATGCTGATGAGTGTCTCCAGCGCCTTGAGCATCTCCCTTTACAGCCTGAGGGGGCAAAAAGGGTGGAAAGATTAAAAGTTTGGAGAAATACAAGGTGAGCGAAACTGATGAAGACATGTTAAATGGAAAGCATTTGGTTTTCGGCAATCTGGAAATGTTGGATGTGTATGGAAAGCCAACCTGCCAAACTTCCACTTCAACCTGCTTCCTGATGCAGAAGGCAGCATGCTTAGTTTTTATTTGAGGTGTTGGGCTATCAAATACCCTTTCTTTTGCTCGAATACTGCATCCCACAGGCAAAATGGCGAACATAATTGCGTAATGAATCTTAAAGTACTCTACCAAGTGTTAACTAGCTCTTACAAGCAAGCTGCAACGTGATTACAGAGCATTTCATTACCACACAATCCCCAATCAAGACCGGCGTTTACAATGAGAGATGATGCCGTCACCCCAATGAAATAACAGACATAAAGAACACCGTGCTCACGTTCTAGATAGCATTTGAGAGTTTGCAATAATATGTCCTCTGATGTGAGGGCACAAAATTCCTTTTGACAGCTATGAAATACTGTAAACCCTTGCCTGCTGCGAGCAAGTATTTATCTTTAAAGCCTCACATTTTGATGCCACGAATGTTTAAAAGTGATGACAAGCTTTTATACCTTGAACAAAATATAATTTCATGCTGAATTAACCGTATTGACCAGCTGGAGGGCAAAATAATGTGTATGAGTCTCTGGGTTGCAAGATCTTCATTAGGTCATCTCTATTTGTGGTGAATGTGAGCATTTTGTTGTTGTTGTTGTTGTAAATGTATTAATTCATACATTAATGAATTCATTCATGTATTTATTTATTCATTTATTTATTTATTTGGAGGAAATATGAGTGGTCTTGTTTTATTGTTAGCTGTAATTCTGATCTTTTAGCAATAGCACAGTCTTCCTCAACAAAGCCACATGATTTGAGGAATCATGCATGTCTTTAGCACAAATAATGTGCGATGCATTACACACTGAAGTTTAATACTTAGGTTATGGCTTTCTCCAACAAATATGTACAACATTAAACGTGCCTTAGGAAGCACTATCAATAAAGGAACAGAATGTAACAAACTGACTGGCAAGTCTCTTAAAAGTGAGAAAGACCACTGTTGCCTGTCAGAGTTGTGAAAGGTCCAGGATTGATGGGGAATTGTGTAAGTATGAAGAGACATCACTGATATATCGCCAACTCAGTCGACTGCCAGCTCGCTCTCTCCCGCTACTCGCGATCTGTTCAGCTGGCTCTTTTGCCAGACACCAACACAAATATACACACACTGCCTGTAAATACTGTACAGTGACCATCCAGTCATCATGAATCATATCCCCTGAGAAAGAGTATAGAAGGAACAATAGTGCCTTTTCAATAGTAACTTTAAGTTAAATATGCAGACAAATATTATTAAATATGTTGATTGAGTCATCCAAAAAGTGAAAACACTGTTATTTCTGTGGTGTTACAGTACCAAATCTCTTATCCGTTTGTCTGACTCCAACATAGAAACAATTGTTGAACCAATGGTATGAAATTGGGGCGGGACTATCTGTTTGTTCAACCAATAAAAGCAGAGGTGTAATTGTACATTTTACACCCCTGCTTTTAATATTATATATTATATCATATAATGTAATATATTAAAAATAATGTTTAAAGCCACTTTTTTTGTATTGTCTATTTAACATGTCTGCAACATTTATTATTAAATTGGCTTGAGAAAGCCAACTTACTGAAATGCTATTTAAACTT